TTAATATATATCATTTAATTAAAAATACATCTTTTCTTTAAGCATATAATTAAAACACTTTTCTATATACTTAATTCAATTAATTTGAAAACATTTTAATACATATTGAAATATTAAACACATAAATAATAAAATACATTTTATTGCACCATAATAAACATTGAAATTAATCGTCATTTAATTTGTTTATAATAAATATTGAAAATACTTTTCATTCAATTTGTACATATCATACAATATTAATTAAAATTGAAAATACCTTTTTCTTTTAAATATTCTTTTTGTACATAACAAATGAAAAATACTCTTTTTTTTATATACATAATTAACACCTAGAAATATTTTCTTAAAACATCATTTTCATAACTTAATTAAAACTTGAACATACAATTAAAACATTTTCTTTTGTGCATACTAAAAGAAATACAAGATCAATAATTAAATAAACACTTAATTATTCTTTAGGTTAAATAAATACCCTAATATACATTAATTTCACATTATCGCACATGTAAATAATTACATACATATACGCACATACACCTACACAATATACTGACATTTTGATACATTATACATTTGCTTATGGTGACATTCGTTACATTTACACTTGATTGGTCCGATTTGGTTAATTTATTGGACCCTATGATCCTAAGTCTCATCCCCATTCATAAATTTGTACCCCCACTCCCAGATACTATTTTGTAATAGCGTAGACTTTACATTTCCGCAATTTACAGTTTTCCAATTATACCATGGTTAGACCTAGGGTTTGCATGTACATAAAATCAAACGCTAGATAACCTAATACAAGACAAATACATGAAATCAATACACAATCACACTTGCACCCTCTAGGGTAATTCCACATGTTGCCTTCCAAAATGGGCCATGCTTGCACGTCGAGTATCTTTGGCAAAACCAAATCAAAATGATCATAAGTCCCTCAAAATGTTGCCTAAACAGAATGATCATAGTCCCTTCAAAGCAAATTGCCAAAGACACTTGGCACCATTGCATTCATGGTCCATATAACGACCCGCGCCCGTCCCGAATAAACTTTCTAAACGCAAGATTGTCCACCAAATCCAATGGTGGAACGAAATTGTTAAAAGGGGTTAAAACATAACAAAAACCTTTGAGTACAATAAGGTAGACAAAACTCTTAGTTACTTGAGATCGACTTGCAAAAACACTTGCCTTCTTTTCAAAAACCACAATCCACGACACTTTCAAAACAAACTCTCAAAACATTTTTGAAACATCTTTTCGAAAAGATATACGCCTTTGTAAAATATTCGAGTAAAGAATTGTTACAAGGTTAGCCTAAGACAAGGCATCTTCTTCCAAAACATTTTCAAAAGCACTCACATACACACCATTTTCAAGCAATCGAAAATCAAGGCAAGTGATCTAAAAAACCAAGTAACTAAAAGCCCATGGATAACCATGGATGAAAAGGGTGCTAATACCTTCCCTTTTCATAATCTACCCCCCGAACCCACGAAATATCTCAAAAGGTTTTTGCTGTGCTTTTTTAACCTTTCCTTTAGGATAAAATAAAAAGTCGGTGGCGACTCTTGCTCAACCGCACAAGTGCGAATACGAACGCAAAACCCTAGTCAGTTCTCCCACCGTATCACACTCTCCATTCACTTTCACCACAAAGGAGTCAGAATATCACCCCTGGGCTGCTTCAGAAGTTGCAAACTTCCATCCTGCTGAGTACGTATAGAAGTTGCTCAGAACTTCACCAGAGTTCAAGACCAATTTTCAGTTCACAGAATCCTTTCCAGCTGCAAGGTAAGTTTTCTGCTGACCTTATCCTAACTGATTAAGCATTGTCAGATTTTGCATATTTAGCACAATGTAGATATCCTGATTCTAAGGATGTACATATTCTGAAATTCATGCATCTGCTTGCCTAAGTAGAGGAAATCCCAGTTCAGAGCTTCATAAAAAAATAGGACTCGGAATTAGAACTAGCGAATACATGTTGCTTCTGATTCATGCTTCTGATATTTCATGAAATTTGTCATAACTGTTATACATGTAACTTCTGTTATATAAATGACTAAGCTGCAGATGTTCTAACTGGCATGGAGAAAGGTAAAGTTCTGACAATTGCGTCAGAACTTCTGAGTTCTCAGAAGATCCAGAACTTCTGAACTTTCATATTTTTGCTAACATGTTTCTGTTTGTGCAAGCCAAGTCAGAGTCAGAACTTCTGACGTCTTCTATTTTTAGCACTTTGCGCTGATTATGTTTTCCTTGCTTCCTTTTTTATTTTATTTTATTTTGCCACCATATTATATTTCATTTTTAATTAAAAAACACCAAAAATATTTTACATTTGCATGATATATTTTCTTTTAATATAAAAAGACAAAAAATATTTTCTTAAACAAAAGTTATTTTCTTTTTTAACAAACAAACATTTCATATTTTCTGTACATTCTTATCTATTTCAATATGGTTGTAATAGTAACCTAGAATTTTTACTTGCAACCCCCATTCATAAATATGTACCCCTATCCCCTTAAATATTGTAATAGCGTAGGACTTTACATTGCTGCACTGTTATTGCTTTCAATATATGCTAGTAATTAGGGTGCATGACCAGATATGAAAATTGATAAATTGATCACCCTAATCAAGACAAACTATGCATACAATCAAACACACTCGCACATGTACACCCTTAGGGTAATTCCACTTGTTGCCTTACAAAAATGGCCATGTTATGCATGTGGGATATCTTAGCACAAACGAATCGAAAAAGATCATAGTCCCTCAATGACGCTATCAAATTTTCCTTTCAAAATGATCTTAGTCCCTAAAGAAAAAGTGCTAAGTCATCTCACAACATTGCTATCATGGTCATACGATGACCCAACACCCGTCCATTCACATCCAACGATGGAGCTTCTTATCAAATTAATGGTAAGATAACAACATTTAAAGGAGGAGGAAAAGCGCATCTAAGACTTTTTGAGTATGTAGATTACTTTTAGTTACTTGCTCATTCTCAAAAACAAATATCCTTGCTATTCTCAAAACAATCACATACATTTTCCAAACATTTTTCAAAAAACCTTGAAATATTTTCAAAAGTTCAACACTTTGCATACATTCTTACGAACGTGAATCATTGCAAAGTTTGCCTAAACGATGGCCTAAACTTTGGAATCATTGCAAAGTTTGCCTAAACAATGATAACTAAATAAAATTAAATAGATATACATTTATGTCTACCGACTATGATAGTATAGATTTCAGAAATAATGTCATGTATTATATTGTATTATTTTCTAAAAAAAAGTTGTTAATTTATAGAACAGAATCATATATTTCTACAAAAAATATGCATGAACAAACTACAAAAAATATAAAAATAATGAAATCAAGCTCTCAATAGCATAAAGTATTAAACTTCACTTTTTCCAATTAAAAGAGAGTTTTATATTTTAGATGAAACTTGAAGTTTGATTAGTTAACAATTTCACATAATCATGTTACATTTTCAAAATGATCTGATTGATTCATAAATAAACATTGTTGTGGCTTTAGCTATCTTTACCTCGAATAGATGCGACTCCATCGAAGCTAAGGTCTCAGTATGAATACCTTTGTTTGCCATTTCTCAAAAATCCTAACTATTAATCAAAATAAAGAAATCAATTAACTTAATTAACACAAATCTCACAAAAATCATAATTAGTTGATAACAAATTTTAACAAAACTTGGTGGCAGAATAAGAAGAACACATACAAATCAGAAGAAGCAGAAAAATAAAATTATAACATATCAATTGAAGTTCAACAAAAACTAAGTAATGTAAAGTAATAGAAGGACAAAGGGAGTGAGGGATTACTTTTAAAATCAGAGACAGTGTCGTGATCGGAAACAGTGAGGGCCATGCGGGTGTCGATGAAGATAAGTTTTTTGTTTCCAGAAATCTGAGCTTGTATCTGTCTTCAGTCTTCCTTAAAGATCCAGCCGAATATAGAATATATCGATAAGATATAATTTAAAAGAAAGAGAAGTCATACATAAAGGAAGAAGTCGAATAAGAAGAAAGAAAGTGATATAAAATTTGAGTTAGGATTTAGGATAAAGCTTCTTGCTTCTAATTAGAAAAATCAATATCGAAAATAATGGAAATTTATCTATTTTGAAAAACAACATAGTTAAGGTTCATGTTCACAAAAAAAACAAAAGTGAACAAATTTAAGAATGAAGATGAAAAAGAAGATGGTAAAGGGAGCCGATAGAATGCAAGGTTGAGAAAGGGAGAAGTAGTTTGGCGTATTGAAAAAATGGTACATTTATGAGTTGATTCAAAGCTATTTAATGAGGTTGATATAGTGATTCAAAATAGAGCCTATCTATTTAATGAAGTTGATTATGTGATTCAAAATAGAGCATACCTATCTCATAATTTGGGAAGTTGGAGGTTTTGTTCTACCAAAGTAGTGCCTCTCCATGTTCCAAATAGTGTGCATGAATTTAAGTTTTCCAAAGGTTACAATGTATCTATTAATATAGTTAACATCCTTTTTAAGGTTAATTAGTGATTAAAAAAATTAAAAAATATCGTGAAAATATATTATGTTGACACATCAGCGTCATTAAATACTAAAACAATGTGATGATATGAGTAGTTCAAAAAAACCTAATTTACCCTTAATAATTAGTTTAAATGTTAATTTTAATTAGAGGGCATTAAGTGAATTTCCAAATAATTTAAAATTTATATATTTATATTAGATTAAGGGTAATTAAGTAAATAAATAAGCTATTCCTTTTATTTTTTTATTTTATAATAAATTCGATTTTATTATTACTATAGTATTATATAAAAAATTCCCATAATTAGAGATTAATGACTAATTTATTAGATTTTACACTTTTATTGCGCCTATATAAAACCCCCTCTGCGTTCGGTGTATAGATCAAATTAGGGTTTGCGGCTTCGATTGAAATCAGCGTGAGTTTTTCAAATTTGTTTCAAAGTTAAAATATTTATCAAATTAAACGCATGTAGCAACCCCGGGCTTCTCCGAATAATCCATGACGTGAAAGCCCCATTGCACATTGCAAAATCGACGCCGTTCGTGTTGCAGTTCATCTCACTAATTCCTCGATTGATCTGTGTCAAAGTAATGGCCACATTCGTTGATTCACGATTTTGAATTGTTTTAGTATTTAATTCTGAATTTGCATCGTTAAACATTCTGCTTGTTTCCGAACACAGATCTGTTCGGTGAACAATCGTGATTGTTAAGAGTTGTTAAATGTTCTGAGATTCTTAATTATTATTTTTGTAATAGGTATAATTACTCTTAAAATCGCTAATTTTGTTTGAAATGAGTTAAATTGTTAATTGAATGATGATTTTGCTGATGATGATTTAATCTAATTGTTTGAGATGTTGTGGAGCCAAGATCCTGTTTACAGGATGAACCTACTTGGTGAAGCTACTTTCATATGACATTAATGGATTTATCTGAGGCAAAAATATGCATTTCGATTCACTTTAGTTTTTTTTTAGGTTCTTTTGCTGATTGAATTTCACTATACTCTGTATATCCTTTTGGTTTTATTACTCAGCATCATCTATGAGTCTAAGTAGCTAATTTCGCATGATGCAACCCCGGGCTTCTCTGAATATTGATGACGTGAAAGCCCCATTGCTCGTGCAAAACTGATGCTATTCGTGTTGCAGTTCATTCTCAGTAACTCTACGATTGATCTGTGTCAAAGCAATAGCAACATTTTACATTTACCATTAGTTTTTATTTTACCAACCAGTGTCAAGACAGTATTATTTACTAATTTGATATGCTACTTAGCTTATTTCTTATGTCAAATTGGAATCAGTTGATTTGTGTCAAAATGTGAACTTTTAGATTCTGTCGTGGTCTCTAAATGTGAACTTTATGGTGATCATGAATAAACAAATCATCATATTATATGTGATTGTGCTTTCTCTAAGAAGCTTTGTATTAGATGATACTTTCTTCGAAGATTGATACTAGTTCTCTATTCATACCACCATTTTTTATATTTCCAATCAAACAAGACCTTCACGATGTGGTATTGTGAACATGTCGTGTTGTTATGTCATGAATCAATTGTCACACCATCATAATTGTTATTAGTCTAGGGAGGTCTCCAACAAAAATCTCCATGAATGTTGGTATCTGTTACCTTAAGCCCATTATCATCACTAACAACTGTAATATTAAATAACGACTTTTATAATGAATTATTAAAAGAGTGGTTCTTACCTCCCATTCAAAACTTAAACTCAATCCCTTGATGTTTATGCAATCTGACGTCGAACACTTAAATGAGACCCTCGTTGTAGTCTTGTGAGAGTTGGAGAAAATAGTTAATTTCTTGATGCTCGACACGACTAACAATTTCTGGAAGGTTGAGTTCTTCGACCACTTTGGGGTTGTACACATGTTGCTTCACAACAAATATATGTTGGCACTTTTCTTCAAAGATCTAAAGATCATCAATATTATCTAAGAAAACACATTTTCGAGAATATTGAGGAAGAACAAGCCTTGCCCTTACCCATGGTTGAATTTTCAATTTGAGCTTGTGCAAAAGATGTTTGATAAATAGTGTGAATAAAGTGACTACTTGTTTAAGAGAAATTTAACTATCCATTAAACCCAAATGTGATATAAAGATGTAAAAACACACAAAAATGACGATTAGACAACAAATGTATGCAAATTTGAAGCTTAGAGGATTTGTGTGTGATCAAGGGTTTTATAGAAGAGGAACTTTTAGTAAAGATTTAATGAGTTGTTGTTAAATATAGAGTTGAATGATTTATGGTGGAGGAATTTATGAGCTATAGTGAAGGATTCAATCCGAGATAAAGTGTATCAAGACAAAATATAATTTGAAAAGGTTTTGTGATGGGTGCATGAATGGAAAGACAATGTAGAATAGGAAAAGATAGAACAAAATCAGACATGAACACTCTTTTTAACGCATGTGTCGACTTGTATGTATCATGTGTCGACCACGAAGTTTAATTTGAGACATAAGATTTTGGGTTGGTTTTGAATGACACAAACTGACTCATGCATGAATGGTTATAAAAGACACATGTGAATGAACATTTGTCATGGGTTAACACCAATAGACATGCATACACATATATGCAAACATAAGATATAAGTAACATATAATACATGTGTGGATAGTATGATGAGGTCACTATAAGCATATGAATTGAAACATATTATAGTTAGCAATTGAAAATTTTGGAAATAAACACTCATAACACATATCATACATCATGTATCATATACCTTAGAAGAATAACCAGGTAAAAGAGAGATTTTACTCATAAAGTAAAAACTGAAACCATATAATCTCACCGTACGAAGGACGGAGGATGCACTAGCATTTCACAAGGAACTCTCGAGCAAAAGTTGAAATAAATGCAAATAGTGCCACAAAAACTCTAGACAACAACGTTCTTAACACTTTTCCCTTTTTCAAAGTATCATATATCTTTTACCAATTTAGGAATAATTATTTTTGCTTTCTAGGTCACAAAACTCTTCTTAATTTCCACAAGGTCAATGGGATTAGGAGATGTCTCCCATCATATGTCTTGAGCTGCCACAAATTAGGATCCATATTCTCTTCATAGAGCCAAGCCATCTTTCCTGCAAAATCAACAAGACATATTAGGTACCCAATATTAATTGGGTCCTTGAGGATAAGTGAAAGCTTGGTTGTATTTAAGAAACCATTGATAAACACCTTTAGGAATAAAAATCTTTCTAAATTTGCATTTTGCAATGGTGTGATCTTTCATACAACAATAGTTACAAGTCAAATTTTTATGAGAGGAACTTTTTTCCTTTGATTCCTTTTCAACAATTTTATACCTTCTATAAGGATTATCATAAGGAATTTTGTATTTGGTGGTATCAATGGAAAAAGTTACCTTTGGTTCTAGAGCCTTATTTAACTTGGTCTTTAGAGATCTAACCTCTTTTTGTCAAATGTGACAAGGCTCACAACCGAAATTAAATCAAGAGGGTTTTTCATTCTCATCTTGTACTTCTTGAACGTCTATCATAAATTACTTTAGAGCTTGCATTCGTTTTTCTATTTCTAAAACCTTAGCTTTCAAGTATGAAAAATATTTTCATTTGAAGCTAACTTTTTAAAAGCATTTATCGCTTCTCTATGTAGAGTTTCAAAAGCATCTTATAATTCAGAATGAGACAATCTATCAATATGTTCATATTTAGATTGACTTACATTCTTTTTATTCCTTTTACGATAATGGTTCGAGAGACAAACCTCATCACATTGTGATTATTTTACATCCTTTTTCTCCTTCTCATTTTAATAGGGAAATATACAAACCTCATCACATTGTGATAATTTGACATCCTTTTTCTTCTTCTCATTATAATATGCCGAGAGACAAACAGTTGTCGACTCTTTATTGTCAATTGAGTCTTCATCACTTGAGAAATTACTATGCTTCCCAAAGCAACATATGCTCTTCTAGACTTGCTAGATTTCTTGCGTTGACCCTTCTCATTATATTTATCAAGGAGTGGACAATCTGGCTTGTATATGCCAACTTTACCACAATTGTAACATTAACGTCTTGATTTTCCATTCTTATTTTCATCTTCCTTTGGGGATGTAGATTTTCTTCTAAACTTGTTAAGATTTTTGTCAGATTTCTTTACTCCACTCTTTCTAATGTACCTATTGTACCTCTTCACAAATAACCTCATTTCTCCATCATCTGAGTTCTCGTCGTCACTAATATCACTATCACTTTGCTCATTTGTTTAGGACCTCAAACTAGAAGCGTTTAGAGTAATAGACTTCTTCACCACCTCCTTATCATTGCCTTTATCCTTCTTTAGCTTCTTCTCATGCTTTTTCTCATGTTTCTCAAAGAAAGTGAGTTCTTTCTCATGCTCTTTAAGCTTACCAAACAAATATAGTGAGGTCTAGTATTATAAAATCATTAGCTTCCTTGATCGCATTGATCTTTAGTTTCCAGTTCATAGTAAGACACTTCAAAACTTTATTAGTAGCAACTTCATTGGAAACCAGTTTCCCAATTGCATTCAAATGATTAATGAGATGAGAGAACCTCTTTTGCCTTTTGTTAGTGGTTTCACCATGCTTCATGCAAAATAGTTCAAAATTTTGATTTAATGTATTAATTCTAGCTTGTTTAACTTCATCAGTTCCCTCATGGGTAACTTGTAATGTGTCCCATATAGCTTTAGAAGTTTCACAATGGGAAACACGATAAAATTCATCAACACCAAGAACTGGTATGAGAATATTTTGTTCTTTCTAATCGAAACCCCACTTTTTTATATCATCATCATTCTATTGTGCTTCCAGTTTAGGTGTGACAACACCATTAGCATAGGTCACGGTAATTGAAGTTTGACCATTAATAATGGCGTTCCACACTCCCTTATCATATGAATTTATATGAATACACATACAAGTTTTCTAATAACCATAGTTTTCACCAGTGAAAATATGCGTTTTATTGTACGCCCCTTTATGTTCAGTAGTCGTTATCTAATAAGCGCTTTTGAAGAACAAAATGAACTGAAACTTGTTATACCACTTATTAGACAACGACAAATTATATAGAGGGGGTGAATAGATCCACAAAGTCAAAATACCTTTTAAAATTTTGTTTTGAAAATGAATGAAAAACTATGGCAAGCAGAAGTTTTAGTTTAGATCAAACAAGTCGTCTAAACCAAACCGATTATTGGAAACTCAAATTTGTCTAATTTACCGAATGAAATACAATACCATTATAATAACTTAATACAATAATTTCTCAATCAATCGTTTTAATACGATCTCAAATTTAACCCATTTATAATGAAATTATTGATAAAAACAAAAGTTAGCAAATTATCGAACACTTGGTGTGCAATTGATTTTTCAGATTTTTCTTTTGACTTTATTGATATAAAATACTACTTACAATCTAACTGATTGTAATGTAATCAACAAAGAAATTTCAAGTCTAACAATCAAAGGATTTGTCTATACGTATCAATTATATGATCAATGAATTTAACAAATTTCTATAGAAAGTAAATGAGAGAGAGAAAGGACACAATGATTTGTTTAGGCAGTTCACCAATCGTCCTCACTATGGATACATTTGCCCCTAATTCTAAATGG